GTGTGTGTGTGTGTGTGTGTGTGTGTGTGTGTGTGTGTGTGTGTGTGTGTGTGTGTGCGTGTGCGGTGTGTGTGTGCGTGAGCGTGCGTGCGTGCGCGCGTACGTATGTGTGTGTCCGCGTTTGCGTGCGTATGTGTGTGTGCGCGCGCGTATGTATGTGTGTCCGTGTGTGCGTGAGCGTGCGTGAGCGTGCGTATGTGTGTTCGCGCGCGCGTACGTATGTGTGTGTCCGCGTTTGCGTGCGTATGTGTGTGTGCGCGCGCGTATGTATGTGTGTCCGTGTGTGCGTGAGCGTGCGTATGTGTGTTCGCGCGCGCGTACGTATGTGTGTGTCCGCGTGTACGTCCGTGTGTGCGTGAGCGTGCGTGCGTGCTGCGTATGTGTGTGTGCGTGTGTGCGTGCGTATGTGTGTTCGCGCGCGCGTGTACGTATGTGCGTGTGTCCGTGTGTGCGTGCGTATGTGTGTTCCCGCGCGCGTGTACGTATGTGCGTGTGTCCGTGTGTGCGTGCGTATGTGTGTTCCCGCGCGCGTGTACGTATGTGCGTGTGTCCGTGTGTGCGTGCGTATGTGTGTTCCCGCGCGTTTACGTATGTGTGTGTCCGCGTGTACGTCCGTGTGTACGTGTATAAGCGCGTGCGTGCTTGATGTCTGTGTGCGCGCCTGCGTGTGTCTGCGTGCGCGTCTGTAATATAAAATAAATATTTGTATATATATATATTAAACAAATAATCACAATATTTTTGAAATAATCAGGGGAAAAAGGCGAAATTTCGGCCTTTATCGTGATTCACTGGAAAGTGTCAAGTAACTGTAGGGAACTTTATTTATGTTTGCCAATGAATTAATTATGCACAAGTCCGTTTTATAATTAACCGAATCTAATTAAGTGCATTACTCATTAGTTTCCTTTTCCCTGTGCTGAATGCTAAGTTTATGTTTAATTAAGAATGCCGTTATTTATGGCAAATGTTTAAAGGATTAGCATAATTAGTGTATATTAGGATTAGCGTAGTTAGTACTTATTGACCTATTTCGGGCATATTGCACATATTGTGTTCTAGCAATACTTGTACGTATTCTACTCTTCAACATATTTGGGAGATTCTATCCGTTAAAGTACTAGTAATCATATAATATAGTTTTACTTAAATTGACTACGTCACGAATTTTCTATGGTAAAATTTTTGTTGCCATTTTTTACATTAAAAGTAAGAACTAACGGGACTAAACAAATCGTCAAAGTCTTACCTGATAAGATTGTTTCTCAACTAGTTAAAAATCCAAAAAACCTGGACGATTTCATATTGTGTTCCTGACATTAATTGCTTGCTATGGGCTATGTATGAGTCACGAGTATATGTTCACATCGAACAATATAGTAAAATAAGAAGTAAAATGCAGAAATTTAACCATAAAAAGTGAACTGAATTACTTTGATTACATTTTGTGAAAAAGTGGAAATTTCTTTTTTCTTTTTTAATATTTACGGTGGCGTAATCACTTTAAGCAGATAAGCGTTTGAAGTGCATGGGATTTGTCTATATCATAGAAATAGCAGCTGTTGTTACTGTGCGGGCACTGCAGCGAATGCTACGCTGTCGCAGTAGGTCATGGCAGACAAATACAGGAAACCAGTTTTAGCTGGGTCGGCAGAAAATATTCAGCCAGGTGATTAGGCACGTGTTCTGTGTGTTCCTTCGATAGCTCAGTTGGTAGAGCGGAGGACTGTAGTGGTACGTGAACAGTTATCCTTAGGTCGCTGGTTCAACTCCGGCTCGAAGGAAATTTATTTTCCTAATTGTTTTAGTTTCAGTTTTAGCGATAGGAGTCGCCGATTTCTAGCATAGGTCTTATATTTTTGAACGTTTAGGCATTTAATCCTCATATTCGTGCATTGATTTGCAGACCCAGGCTAATGATTTTTCTACATATGTTTCAAAACGTTGGGGTCTGTCTTGCAGTCGTATTCGACGCTGCAATATATGCGTTTCCTAACCTAAAAAATACTATTAGCGAGAACGAAATGCCGTCCGGAAAATACGTCTGATTCAAAGCTGTTAATGTTAACGTATATCGTCTCGGGGGTACTTGGGAATATCAATGTTCTCCCGCACGTGAAAGTTTGTGTGTTATATTTCTAAGCGATCTGATGAGTTGCATTGAAGGATTATCGAGTCGCTATACATATTGTGTGCGGTCCAGTGCGCACATGGTTAATTACGAGCGTGTTATCTATCTATCTATCTGTATCTATCTATCTATCTATCTATCTGTATCTATCTATCTGTCTGTCTATCTATCTATCTATCTATCTATCTATATATATATCTATCTGTATCTATCTATCTGTCTATCTATCTATCTATCTATCTATCTATCTATCTATCTATCTATCTATCTATCTATCTATCTATCTATCTATCTATCTATCTATCTATTTATCTGTCTGTCTATCTATCTATCTATCTATCTATCTATCTATCTATCTATCTACCTATCTATCTATCTATCTATCTATTTATCTGTCTGTCTATCTATCTATCTATCCGTCCATCTATCCATCCATCCATCCAGCCATTTATTTATTTATTTATTTATTTATCTATCTATTTATCTACCTATCTATCAATCTATCTATCTATCTATCTATCTATCTATCTATCTATCCATCCATCCATCCATCCATCCAGCCATTTATTTATTTATTTATTTATTTATTTATCTATTTATCTACCTATCTATCAATCTATCTATCTATCTATCTATCTATCTATCTATCTATCTATCTATCTATCTATATATCTAGCTGTCTCTCCGTCATTCCGTCCGTCCGTCCGCCCGCCCGTCCATCCATCCATCCATCCATCCAACCACCTCTCTATCTATCTATCTATCTATCGATCGATCTATCTATCTATCTATCTATCTATCTACCTATCTATCTATCTATCTACCTATCTATTTATCTATCTATCTATCTACGGCTATGGCTATTTTATAAAAATTCGTGTATGGGAATCTATACATTTCAAAACAACGCTGTTCTGTATAGTTAGTGTATGCCGCTTTGCAGCACAATATCGAGAAATGTCGTCTGTGGTTCACATACCTAAAAGCAATATACAAAATAGTCACGTATGTAATAAAGCATGTATGTATGTGTGAGCGTGCATGCGTACGTGTGTTTGTGTCGGTGCGTGCGTGCGTGCGCAGATCTGATGTTACGTTGTTATGTTGTGTTATATTATATTATGTTATGTTATGTTATGGTATGGTATGGTATGGTATGTTATATTATGTTATGTTATGTTATGTTATGTTATGTTATGTTATGTTATGTTATGTTATGTTATGTTATGTTATGTTATGTATGTATGGTATGTTATGTTATGTTATGTTATGTTATGTTATGTTATGTTATGTTATGTTATGTTATGTTATGTTATGTTATGTTATGTTATGTTATGTTATGTTATGGTATGGTATGGTATGTTATGTTAGGGTATGGTATGTTATGTTATGTGATGTGATGTTTAAGTTATGTTATGTTATGTTATGTTATGTTATGTTATGTTATGTTATGTTATGTTATGTTATGTTATGTTATGTTATGTTATGTTATGTTATGTTATGTTATGTTATGTTATGTTATGTTATGTTATGTTATGTTATGTTATGTTATGTTATGTTATGTTATGTTATGTTATGTTATGTTATGTTATGTTATGTTATGTTGTGTTGTGTTTGCAGGACACCTGCTGCCCTGCGGATAAACTCATTAAGCAGCTATCCCCGGTAAACGCCTGCAACATGTCGCATCCGTTGCCCAGCAACGAGAACCTGCACGAGACACCGGACGCTCATTATCACTATGACAACCCGGCATTCACGAACGTCGAGCTGACGACAGACGCGCCACCTGGGGGCTCGCCTCAGCGACCGCCTCGAAGGTCGCACGCGGCGCCGCCAGATGACGCCGCCGTCGGATCGAAAGATCCGAGGCCAGACTACAGGGAGTCACTGCCACACTACACGGGTGGAGTCATCGATTCGAAGGTAGAGAGAGAGAGAGAGAGATAGAGAGAGGGAGAGAAAGCGGGGAGAGAGAGGGGGAGAAAGAGAAGAGGGAGAGAGAGCGAGAAGGAGAGAGAGAGAGAGAGAGAGAGAGAGAGAGAGAGGGCAGAAGGAGAGAGACAGCGAGAGAGCGAGAGAGAGGGAGAGAGAAAGAGGAGAGAAGAGGGGAGAGAGAGCGAGATGGGAGATAAGGAGGGGAGGAAGGAGAGAGCGAGAGGGAGATGGAGAGGGGAGAGAGAGCGAGAACGAGAGAGAGAAGAGAGAGAGAAGAAGCAGGAGAGAGAGCAGAAGGATGAAGAAGTCGGAGAGAAGGGGGAGAGTGAGAGAGGTAAGACGATAGAGAGAGAGACCGCGAGAGAGCGAGAGAGAGTGGAGAGTAGACCAGAGGGGGGTGTGAGAGAGAGGGGAGAGCGAGGGAGCGAGAGAGCGAGGAGAGTATCGAGACAGAGCGAGAGGAAAGAGAGAGAGAGAGAAACGGACAGATGAGATGAAGAGAGAGAGAGAGAATAGAGACGAGAGAGAGAGATAGATAGAGGAAGAGAGACGAAGCAGAGACCAAGAGAAAAGAGAGAAGAGACGAAGAGAGAAGAGAATAGGAAATGAAGAAAGAGAGAGAGAGAGAGAGAGACGACGAGAGAGGAGAGAGAGAAGAGAGAGAGCGAGAGAAAGCGAGAGGAGCAGAGAGGCAGCTAGCAGTTCTGCCACCTTACTGCTGTCAGACTTCTCGCCGCAGACAGGCGATAGCTCGACTATAGCATGTAAGTGACTTACTTCCTGTGTCATCCGGTATAGACGAACCTTATCGACAGAACGACGACGTAACTTATATAACAGGTCCTTACGCGTGAATTCAACTCGTTGACATGTCTGTAGAAGGTTAAAAAGTGTGAAAAAACGAGACTTTAACAATCGATGTTTTTCGATCGAGTTTACGAAAAAATCGCTCCGTATGAATTGATAGCTGCCCCCTAATTTTGGAGAAAAAAATTAGACAAATAAACATTAGCTAATCTCGCGTAAAGAAACCTAACGATCGATTTTCTGGTCACTTATAGGGGCGTGAAAGCCTTGTCTCAGGACCCACCCCTACCACACTATGGGCATTCAGGCGCCTCCATCTTGGCACCAGTTTTTTTAGCTCCAACGTTGTTTGCTCACTGAGACCAGGCCCTTCGTCCGCTTTTCATAACGAGCCTCTGGCTGTACTGGCCAGGGAAGCTTGCAGCGCTGAAATAAATCCGCTTCTTCCATCGATACTGTCCCAGCCCGATATAATCTTGGACGAACGCAATCAGGGCGTAGAATCTAAAGATTTATGATCATCTGGAAGACGCTTGTCAGAAACATTAATTAATTATGACCACTCATCATGGCATTAGGACACTCATACCTAATTATGAGATCATCATAATTATGACATCATAAATGTAGGAGCTTGGATGTCATGCCTGTTGCGCTAGGAAGACTTTTTTTAAAGTTATATTGTCGTCCATAGAGTCATAACTAGAGTCATAGAGTCAATTATGATAGTCATAAACATTTATCATTTGTCTAACAACGTGCCTTATTATCGTTATTCCATATTCATCTCGTTATTCCGATAGTCATTATGTATTAACGCATGCCGGAGCGTGATAAATTATCCACGCATTTCTGACTATTGGATATCGGCACGCATGATCGCACTTTACACACTGACGCTCGCCACGTGCAACACACGTATGGCCAGCCCCACGCACGCGCATGAGCACTGCATAGACACGTCGCTGCGCGACGCCACACGCACGCACACACCCATGCACGCACACACCGATGGGCACATATAAACGACGCACACATCGACCGCACACAACCACCCACGGCACGCACGCCCACACCCACATTATAAACTACGCACACACACACAAACCACCCACGGCACGCACAACACACACCCACACACAGCGACACACACACACACATCACGACACACACACATATATACGAACGCACGTACACCACACACACACCACCACTGGCACGCACGCCACGCGGCCACCATACCATATACGCAACAGCGTACGGTAGCCACTCAGCGATCGCAGCGCCGCCTCCCGGCGGAGGTCTCACGCATACCGCCCGTCTTCCTTCTCTCCCCTCATCCCAGCGCTCACGACAGGCAGAGAGCAGCTACGCTCTGAACCGTGCGACGGCAAGACTTCGGCAGCGACGTCGTCTCGCGCCCGACTCGAACGCCCGGTGTCATTCGAACGCTGTTCGATAACGGCGTGAACTCACTCTACGCGAAGCACCGACGCACGCATTCCGCGCAGTCAGTCGTCCCGCGTGACGGCGGCTGCTCGCCTAATGAGTCACTTCTTCGGCGCCTCGCCTACGTCCGTGCGAACCGTCCGTACGTCCGCGGCGTGCTGGCCGGAAAGGCATCAAGGAGGGCTGATCGGAGTCACGTGCCTGCGCGTTGCCAGTTGGCGATCAGCTTCGGGTGAGCCCGATAGGGCGCCTGCACGCGAGAAGGTGCGACTCCTGGCGGGAGCCGACTGCAGCGCTACTGAGCCGCGTGGCTGAACGTGGTGAGTGGCGGGTAATAGAACTACCACCAGGTGTCAGCAGCGGTCTCCGTGTGAATGGCGCCGGTTGCGCGATGCGGCGAGGGAGAGAGAAACGTGAGGGAAGAGATGAAACGTGAGGAAGAGAGAAAGAGAGAGAGGGTGAATAGAAGATGAACAATAAGAAAAACAGAAAAAGGAAGAGAGATATAGCTTGTAGAGAGAGAGAGAAGAGAGAGACGAGAGAGACAGAGAGAGAGAGAGAGAGAGAAGAGAGAGAGAGAGAAGAGAGAGAAAGAAGAGAGAAAGGACCTAGATACTCTAAGACAAGACATATAGATAGAGAGACGAGAGAGAGAGAGAGAGAGAGAGAGAGAGAGGGAGAGGGGAGGGACGAGAGGAGGAAGGCAGGGAGGGAAGAGGAAGAAAGAAGACCAGGGAAGGTCTATTATCCCTAACTCCTATCTAATACAGTGGTCCAGCGCCCCACTTTTGATCGCGCTCTCGATAAACAGGGGCATGCACTGTAAAACGACAATGTGTCAAAAAAATGCAAAAACCAATCCCTCATGCACATCATTTTAAATATGCGACTTAAACGGGCCAGATCTCAGTCAACGGAATATTTCTGCAGAACAAGATTCTATGGAAGCGCTGAAGACAATTATCGAAGGTTTCAATGGATCGCTGCGCGCCAAACTACGCGCACATACACGCACGCACGGCCACCACGCACGCACGACGCAACGTACGCACGCACAGCGACACCACGCACACACACAACACACACACACACACACACCACATCACACACGTATATATACAGATTTATAAAGATCAAAGCTCTTGTGTACACGCCAACTAAAGCTGTCGCGACTCTCATTCTTTTATTAAAATATAACTGAATATCGTGAAACCTAAGAACTTTTCTACTGTATATACACACACACACACACACACACACACCACACACACACACACACACAATCACACACCACACACACACACACACAACCACACACGCACCCACACACGAACATTAATGTTATGGAGTATATATTGTATATTAATGTATTACTAATATGTTGTATAAGTCTCATCGGCAGTCCATCGAACGCCCACGCCGTATTACTGAGGTCGTTCTGATGTCATTTTCAGGGTTCTGCTACTCTGTGATCGTCGTCGCTATCCGTTTGATCCTCTATTCGCTGGATTAGAACGTGTCACAAGACCGCGAACATCTCCCACCCACCCTCATCTCTGCCGTCGGCCTCCTCTGCCTCTGTCTGTTCTGCTTCGTGTTTTCGATGCATCCCACGCTCCGGGTGAGTCCATGCATCTGCCCGTCTAATACCTTATATCCCAAATATATATACTATATTCTTAGTATACCTTAGTTCCATACTATATGATACTAATAGCTATATTTGTTATATCCCACATATGCTGCGTGTGTGTGCGTGCGCGCGCGCGCTGCGCGGCGCCGCGCGTCCGTGTGTGTGTGGTGTGTGTGTGTGTCGGTGTGTGTGTTGCTGATGTATGGTGTGTGTGTGTGTGTGCGTGGTGTGTGTGCTGTTGGTGTGTGTGGGCGTGCGCGCCGCCGTGCCGTGTGCGGTGTGCTGTGCGTGTCGTGCGTGCACGTGACAATTGTGGAAGTTCGCAGTGAATACGTGCACCATAAATAGTAATAGAAAAAAAAGATGTCACGTTTGTCACAAAAATGTAAGTGATTCTGCACAGGTGAACTGGAGGCCCCATAACTATGGGGTCTGGCGCTACAGTTTTTATCTTCGGGTGCTTGATTCTGCGCACAAGTGTCGGACGGCAGGTGCAGAATTGCACGTGGCTGCGGAGATAAGGTGACCATCTTCCTTAACTTCACCGACCGCTGGCGCCAAGTTCGTGCTGGACAGTACGAGATAGACCAGTGCGGCAACGTCGTGCAGTCCTCAAGATCTTGCGTTTTTCGGTGAGTTATACACGTAATACGCACGCACGCAAGTGTGCACGCACGCATACACGTGCACACACACCACACACCAGCACACACACACACACACAACACAACACACACAAACCACACACACACACACACACAAACATCACACACACACACACACACACACACACACACACACACACACACCCACACACTCCCAGTTAGAGAACCAGTGGGCCGGATTCAACCATTAACCAGACTAAGTCACGTGCTTAGGCATACCAGGGCCAAAGGGGGCAGCCACAAAGTTGGAAAAAGGTGAAAAAAAAAAAATAAAGATTTTTCACTTCCCCAGTAGTCGAGCCGACGCAGACCCCAGTAATGTTACGAACCCGAGTAATGATTAAAAAGACTCGCCCCGTAATGGTTAAACCCGCACTACCGCAGATTCAGCAAAGCCGGAGTTATAACGTCCCTGCAATTTTTTGCACGGACAATTCCCAGGTGTACCACACGGGGCACTGCTGGGAATGAACACAGCTTTAGCAGTTCCATTCATATGTTCTTCATAAGTTAAAAACCAACCAAGAAAACGATCTCTCACCTCCCATGGAACTTTACAACACAATTTAACAGAAGACAATACTAGCAGAAGTGTCTTCCAAATTTTGAACTGCATTTAAGAATATTTTTTAACATTAATGGTCACTAACTGCATAACACGAGAGGTCTTCTCACACGGCCAACGTCGAAAAAACCCGCAAATAGATCCATTATGCTTCAAAGAAAGACTCGACTCACTGTGTATATTAACAATCTGAAACGGATATTCTGAGAGTATTTCTTTCGAGATGTTAATCAGTGATCTTTGCGAAAAAATAAATGTAGAAAAACTGCTTTCAAGTCATGAATTATTGGAACTTTGATACATTAACTTGTGAAATCATTAAAATAGATGTGTAATTGCATTTTGTAGAACTTTATGTAGGCCCAAGCTCGCTTTGTTTGTCACAGTAATAATCAGGGCGACCAGGGCTGAGCTAGACAGTATTTTTTCAGATTTAAGGGCAGCATCCCCCAAAAAGCGGCACACTCCCCACACTAGGGGCGCCGTTCAGCGCGAAGCACATGCGAGGGTCTCGGGCAGGAATTTTCAAACATTTCAAGTTTCCTGGACCAAAAATGAGCACCATTTGAGCATACCATTCAGTCAAGCAGCAATAGCATAAAAACCATAATATGGAATTTTATATTCTGGCTCAGTTTTGCTGCGCTTTGTCATACGGAAGAAGAAAAGCAATTTAATGCAGAAGAGTCAAGCAGCTTCCCTTCTTCTTCAATATCAAAGCTATTTTGCTACCATGTAAAATTTTGATTTCCTTAGTCAATGAATCACAGAAAAAGAAAACAAATAAATATAGCCAATTCCATTCAAAATTGTTTGCTGTATTTTTAGCGCAAAATTTTGAAGGCACTTGAACTCCACCTAGACTGCTATTTCCATACGGCAAATACGGTCTGAATCCGCCCTGGATATGTGTTTATGCATATGAATAAAATTTTTGGCAACTGCTGCAAGA